AGCTCTGTTGTCCTCCATCCATATTTTCAGTTACAGGCTGAGTCATTTCTACCTTCTCCTCTCTGTCAACGCTCTCTGGTTTCATTTAAAAGAGTCGATCATCAGATATTGTCCAAGATTAACCTTCAGGGTGGATTTAGCTCACTAGCAGCCTTGCACCGATGACCTAGTTGATGTCATAATTTACCCAGAATGCTTTGCGTGTAAATAAAATGGCTCTGTCCATGTTAAAATATATTTTTAAAAATTTACTAAACTAAACAGCCTACAGTATTTTACAGTCTTTATTTTACAGTTAAAATATGTTTTTCAAATAAAGTCTAATGTTACAACTAATCGGGGATCCCTTTAAAAACCACCAGTTTATAATTAAACAATATTCCAAATCCCCAAAAAAATCTAAAACTGCATTCACAGTGAAATATAGAAAACATTAAATGCTACAATTAAATAAAAAAAAGTGCCTTTTTATGTTATTTGGAAATTGGTGGCTGAGGAGGAAACATCTGGAGGTCATTTTACAACCAACAGGCTAATCAGCAACAGGTCAGTCAGAGAAATGGCTCCCAAAGTTGGGGTCCTGAAACATCAAGGTGGGGTAATTACTAGCGATGGGCAAAATTGTACCGTGTGGAAGTTGCGAAAAACTGTCAACAATTAATATTTGCCACTTTGCAATTACTGCAGTTAGTGCCATGTGATGAAGTATTTTTGTGTATGACACACTACAAACTACATACAGCATCCATTGCAACAGGGTGGTTTTGTAGAGTCCATACAATGTACTGACCTGCCAACAGCGTAGACCTCTTACTGATTAATAATATTTGATGGTTTTGAAATAAGAGTACTTCGGCAAAAAGTACCCATTCCTTTAGAACAGCTAGAATCCTACATCAGACAAGAGTTGGACAACATTCACCTCCAAAACCTCCAGCAGCTGGTCTCATGCTCCTGTTCCAACTATTTTTAATTTTAAACGTGTTGCTACCATAAAATTCTAATTTATATTTTTTCACCCTAAAATTGGTACACTTTCTTACATTTGTTATGCTTACTATGTTTTTTTTTTTTTTTGTGAATAAAATCTGCATTTAGGAGATTCAGGATTCTCTCATGAAAGCAATCTTAGATGTCCGGGTCTTTCCTGGCGTAAAAAAAATAATTTGAAAAAATCATTGCATTCTGGTTTTTCTTCCATTTTCCAGTTGTAGAAAAGGAGTCCAATAGATACAAATTTAAACTAAAGATTCTACACAGTGAAATACTGTGTTTATGAGCTGCTGGCTTAAAAAAAACACACAGGAGGATGTAATTATGCTGCAATCACAGAGAAGATACCCGGAGATGGAATAAAAAATAAATAAAAAGTTCAATCTGCAGAGATGGTTCAGAGATAAATCAGCCACCAGTGTGGGAATACCACTCAGTCACTTCCTGCTGTGCTGCAGTGACCTACTTAGTGTGATTTCATTTATCAAAAAGGTTGCAGGAAATTCCGCAGCTTGASCAATCTTTTTAGGATGGAGACATCTTCTGATGCCACGTCTCGAGTTTATCAAACCGTCTTATTATCATCACCATCGAAAGCTCCGCCTGGTTCCACATCTGTAACATCAGTGCTACATCTGATTATACGTTGTATTGAAGAAATATAAATTCAGCCGATTATGGGATTTCAGTGAGAATACTCCAAAATCATAATCTCACTTTCAACTTTTCGTCTTTACTGAGGAAATGTAGAAATCTATGCAATAAACAAAGAACCACCAAAAAGGAAGAGAGTTACAACACGTCGACCCAAGTGATGTAGGCTAAAAAAGGGAAGGAATGCTTCCCCAAATTAGCGGAAATTAAAAGGAATGTGCAACAGGGAGTGTCCTGCTTTTGGGTGTGTTTGACCATTGTGTGTGTTTGTGTACAAAAGGATTGTAGTGTGCCAGTTTTGTGTTGCTGAGAACATATTGTTTACAATATTTCAAATGTGCCCACGAGCAAAATCATTCATCTTTTATAGCTCACAATAACCAGCTCTAAGTTATGGAATCAGAGGCGTTTGTAGTTTTATGGAATTTGTCACAACTGGGACYTTGACTRRTGTGTTCATGCTCGCGAATAAAAAYGGGCATCAAAAAACAGAAATGCAAACTCTTTCTAAAAACAACCCATGAAGACATATCTGTCCCATTGGTAGATTAACTGTCCCCACTTTCTATCATTGTTGGGATTAAAGACACAACCTCCCATTTCACAGGAGCTGGAATATTGAATTTTTAAACCAGACTACGCTCACTACCAATGTTGTGCTTTAAGCTCCGCCTACTTTCCTGTACAATCATGGTGTCACATGAGCTCTCTAAAGCATCAAAAGACAAAAAAACTGCTTTTTCATATTTATTTCTTATTAATTTGTTTGATCAAACCAACAAACTCTTGCTGGACTTGATGCCCACATCTGGTTTAGATGATAGTGTTTAGATTAAAAAGTGAGGAAACCTCTTATTTGCAAATGAATTGAAAGATGTCAACAACAGAAGACTTGTCCATCCAGCCTTACATGTTTTACATGTTGGAGCCAGAGTCTGACTCAGAGCCAGAGGAGAACAGACATGACCAAATTGTACTTGGTAAGTCCAGACCTTATTTGGAAGTTCTGTCCCAAACACTTTGGTGCAATACAGACCCTTTCCAAAAAATCTGAATATCATGGAAAAGTCWTTTAATTTCCATAATTCCATTCAAAAAGTTTAACTTTCATAGATTCATGGCCCACAGTAGATTCAAGTATTTTTTATTTTTATTTTTTTATAATTTTGGCTTCCAGCTCATAAAACCCACAAAAACAGAATTCATAGAATTAGAAAACCGTGAAGAAATCAGCCCAAACTAATTCTCAGTTTTTAGAGGATGGTGATAAGACCTTTATATTAGGATGGGATATAGCTGGTCTGATTAATAGGATAAACAATGTTGTGGGAGGCCTGACTTACTGAATGATCCAAAGCTTAGTCAAATTTAGTATTTTGGTGTGTAGGCTGCTGGCCAGTAGGTTGCATCTCCAAAGAAGAGGGGATTTTCAAAATGGTAATMGACAGAAGAGAGGCTGTATTGGAACAAGTGGCCAATGAGTGAGCCTAGATAAACGTTTTATATCCASTGAGTCAGAATACCAAAATGGAAACATTCTGCTCTGTGACAGACACGGCTTGAAATTTTTATGAACCATATAATCTGTTAATATTTAGCCAGAGTTAWTTATTAATGTCTTTTAGGGATCTGTTCCAAATAAATACTTTAAATAACAACCAATTGTAGATTTGTTTAAAACCAAGACAAAACAGCTAAAGACACCAAAGTTCAGTGGAAAYRAGATTCATCTRTTATTTCAAAATCATCAAATGTTGTCACATTTATTTACCCTGAGTTGAGCTGATTTAACAAAAATAAACTCTGTCTTTCCATGAACTGATGACAAAGTTCTTTGTGTTACATTAAACTACTACTACCTGGACGTTGTGTCCATTCAAATCTGCAAACATAATGGATGATTTCAGCCAAGAGACAAAGTTTTCCTTCTTTTTTTAAAGGGTTCAGGGTAAATTATTTATACACAAGTGCCAGTTTTGGTAAACTATTCTCATATCCTACATGTTTTTRAATGAATACTTGATATCTTTTGTATTGTGTACAATACACCAAAGTCATAAAAACTTTTTTAGCCTTAGATTATTTGGTCCAACAATAGAAGCTTGTACTCAGCTCTATTTTAAGGTAATGCTATTGTTTATCAACCTTATCTGCCCATTGAAGATATACATGTACAAAGGTTTTACTGTAGTTGAACAACCAGTGTTTTCAACACAGATAAGCTCTCATTGTTGGGGTCGGAGGTTAGGATGACGGGACTATGACGTCATTTTCAAAAACGTGTTTAGGTTGTCCACACATGAATGCAATTGTTGACTTTAGGRACTTTTAATCTACMTTGAAACCCGATTTTAAAAGAATTCAATTTATAGAGACCAAAAATGCTGTTTCTGCGCAGATGGGGACTAAAGGTCTCCACATCCTCCATCTGAACTACCGAAATCGGCTCTCGCTCTGCGTTATTACATCATACATGCGTAAATCTAAATCTGAYGACCTCGTTGCAGTGAAAACCTTCAGCACCCCTTGCAATTCTTAGCGGCCCCCACAGGTAGGGGGAACCACAATCATTTCCAGTGGTCTAGAAGCAATTACAGAGCATGATTACAAACAGTTCAGCAGTCKAACGATTTATGAGAAAAGACAAAGCAGCACTACACTCGAGCTGCTGTCTTCATAAAACATGCACTCAGCAGTCGACGCTACAGCGAGCACCAAAAGACCACGAGCCCATCTGAATATGAAAGAAGACTTATGTAAAAACGTATTGTGTTAAATCAGTAATGTTTTAAGGGTAAGGAGCTATGAAATTAACAGCCTAAAAGAGCAGTGGATCAATATAAATGCAAACAAGAGGGTTTTATTTGATGAACGGCATGCCCTCTGCTTCTGACTGCAAATTAATAAATCCACAAAGAATTAAAAAGAAACATTCTCTTTTTAGGGACACATATTAGCTGAGTCATTTTGCGGATATGATTTCTGATCAGATCTCGGCATAAAAGAGGAAAAAGCAAAACCATCAAACTGGATTTTTGTTTGAATGTGTAAAAAAACCCAAAAAAAACATGTCTTTAACTGCAAAACACGTTTTCGTAAAGCTCATTTATTTGATTATTAATCATTGTTTTTCCATCTTGCCTCCAGCAAAATCATTTCTCTGCACTCGGCGTTAGTTCAATCATTCACGATTTGTGTCCAACATCACCAGCAGTTCTGTGTGCTGTTTGCATCCCTCCGACCCCCCCTTCCACTATGCCACTGATCAAAATGATGATGATGTGGACATTAATAAAAGATTTAAAAAGGTGTAGCCTGCACGTTCACGTGGAAGAGTTGTGTTCATTTCATACCTCGTTGCCGTACATCATAAGGTGGTGAGTGGTGATGAGGGCTTTGAAGACCACCACCCAGCTCGAGTTGGCAGTGCGCTCAAAAAGCGTGTCTGCCAGCTGGGGAATGTTCACGTTCATCTCATTGGTGCAGTGGATCAGATCTGGGACGCACATGAAAGGAAATAAATAAATAAATTAAAAAACACAGACACAAGGCAGGACAAAAAGCAGGAAAGACCTGAAACACTTTTTAAAAAAATAATCTTAAAAACAGTGAAAGTTGCTGCTCAGGACCATTTTTAAACATGTCTACTTCCAAGAAGCTTAAACTCTAGTTAGGTTTGTGTATGAAGAGGACTTCCTGTAAACTCTTGCTGCCATGCCAAAGTGTCAAATAAACTATATTACTTTGTTACCTTACTTAAAGTGTCCTGCTTTTTAATTGTCCTTTTCCACTTTAAAATCATTCAGTTGGGTTCTATATGAAGAGGAACTGCAATGTTTGGTTTGAATTCCTCATTATTGTAACTCCACAAGCCCCTCTTTTACCTTTTTTTTTTGGAGGTGTGTCTCAGATCAACTCGTTTTGAGGCTGTCTCTTTAAGAGCTTCAAACCCCGCCTCCTCCAGCTTCCAGAACATCCCATTACAGTTACATAGAGTTTACAACTATGTAGCAGTGCAGAAACTTTATATTTACAAATAATAAAATATTTCAACAACAGAAGCCTTGTCCATCCAGCCTTACATGTTGGAGCCAGAGTCTGACCCAGAATGAAGACCACCAAATTGTAGTTGGTGGTCTTATTTATAAGTTCTGTCACAAATACTGTGATGTTATAGTTGAGAAAATATTAGAAAATAGAGAAAACTGAACAAAAGAAGTTAAACATCTTATGCTCTCTTAAATACCATTTTAACATATTATTATAAATCATATTTTAAAATGATTGAAAACCTGATTTGATTTCATGATAATGATTGGAAACATTTAGTTTTATTTTTGCATTTTCTTCCTCATCGTCCCTCCAAATTTCTGAGGGCTTTGAAAAACACTGGCCTAGTTTATCCTGAATTTCTCTAAATTAACATTTTAATAACAYGTTATATGCCATGCATGTTATCTGTCATGTTGTGTTATATAACATGTTATATGTCATGTTTAGAAAAGTGTTTTTGGGGAGTTGGGGTTGTGAATTATAGGCCTCTGTGGCACAGCCTAAGCCTTTGTCTGTAATGTTTTTCCTTCCCTTTCATTACTTTTATATTTTTAGTTTTAAAACCAGTACTTTTACACTTCCACTTGAATAAAGCAATAAGCTGATCCTGCTAGAGAAGTCTTTTTAAACCCTAGTTTATATACTTCTATCTGAGTAATAAATGTGAAAATGTAGCAGCAGTGTTATTAGAAGTAATGATGCCTCCTCTTTAAGTGGGGGTGGCAGGAACCTTGGCATGTTGATGGCACATCACCAAAAATTAACCTGTTCACTAATAAACTGACCCAAGACTGTCTAAAGTTTGAACATCTCTAAAATCTGCAAGAACATCTATCAAAACATGTTGCTGCTGTTATTATCCCCACAACCAGAGCAGTGGCTGTCACACGACACCCCAAAGCTCTAAAAAGATGTTGAGATGTTTATTATTATCACAGAGCTGGAAACAATGACAGAACAACTAAAAACAGAGCTGACAGGATGTTCTAGACAGGTTGTAAAGTTGATGGATATACAACCACCTTCAAATCAGGCCCTAGCAGTACTCTGATACTTCAGTTTTTAAAAACAATGTAAGGTTTAGTATTTATGAAAGATTGGATATCGCTCATCAYCTTTCATGCCAGAAAATTAAACGTGAAGTCCGATTTCAATTCATACATAATTCACTTAGATAAGCATCCATATGCTCAAGCATCGCAACATACAAATGTACACATTCAGCCATAGTAAAGTCATTGTTTCTATTAAAATATTGTGCTTTATCGCAATAAAAAATTGTAATAATCTATGCCCAGCACTAGAATAAAGATCATATGGGAATCATTTTGTCATTGCTGTCATAGTAAGGGATTTAAACAAAAGGTTTATAATATCCTGTTACAAAAATCAGTCTCCCACCTCTACATGCTGAAGTGAAATATGAGATGTAAAACTAAATCATACAGTTTAGACCACTACTAGCTATTTTAGGCAGACGCTAATGCTGCGGTATAATCTGAGGACAGCTTAACCTTCTCCTGACTTTCAGCTGCTCCATCTCACTCYGTCCTGCTCTCTGAGTCGTGTTAGCTGAAGTTCAGGTGTCACTCGTTCACTGACGGGGAGATGACGTTTTTAAAATGGTATAAGAGTGTCCAGCAACAACCCTGGCAATCTGGCACATCAAAATCAGACAATATGATGCCATTACTGACAAACCTGAGGGTGATGCTTTTCTAATGTATAAAATAAAAAGAGCACACAGCACGTTCTACAGTTTTGCTTTGGCTCTGTTGTTCTGCACAAAAATTGTATTCATTGTTGACAATTATTTGCATGGAGAAATTACATTTAAGCCCAACCATTATGAAATTTATTTAAAATTTTCTTAAACTGTCTGCTTTTACCTTAGAGCTGTTAGCTTGTCAGAACAAACCATTTCTCCAAACAGAGGTTGCTCAAGGAGCTATCTACAGTATTCACTTCTRAATGGATGAATTTTTCCTTGAACACAAGTGATAAGTGACCATACTTGACAGAACATCCTGTTAAGAAAAATGTAATGCTGCATTTTGTGGTGCTAAAAAAGACTTAAATCTCTGCTTTTGAATGCAATTTTTAAGAGGTGATTAGCTGCTTCTATTTTCCTGACCCACACAAAAACTACATGTAGAAGAACTGTGTCTATTTCAATAAATCAAAATAGTGCTGCTTTGCAAAATAAAATAAAATAAAGTATCCAGAAGGTATCTTTAAAAATAATACAAAGTCAGCACTAAACTAATCACTAAAAAAAATTTTTGTAGGGCAAAAACTGCAGTTTTTTTTTTAAACATAAATTTTTACATGTTGAATAACTCAACCAAGAGACACTGAACAATAGTGTTTATGTTAAAACAAATAGTATAAACAATAGTAGAAATAAGGAGTTTTGAAGATGCTGCAGCTCTTAAGCCATAAGAGACTATAAAAAATAGGGGTACAAAATGGAGAACTATATTTACTAGAATATTAAAATGAGGATACTATCAAAAGAACTGAAGTTTTCTTGGAAAAAGAGACCTGAACATACGTACTCACATGTTTCTGACTCAAAAATTGTTAAACATTTTACATACTATGAAGACAACTCTATTGTAGAAGGTAGCTGTCTGTGGTTTAAAATATGGATGTATTCACACCTGACACATTTGGTTCGCACTTCAGTGTTGCTAATGCTAACACTGTGCTAAAAAACTATGAGCCGTTTTGGGTCAGGGAACGTGGAGCATCTCGTCTTCTTTAGGTTGTGGCACACATTTGACAACTCTGTTCCAAAATTATAAGAATATCATCGCAAAAYATCACTGAATGAGCAGCTCTTGATATTCCTAATAGTTGTATCAACAGCACCATATTTATTTCCGGGTCTGTTTTTGGTCCTGCTCCCGTCATTTCTGTCCAATGGAAGCAATGACCATTACCCACGTGGCTTTGTTTATAAATTAYAGTCCACTTGCAAAAAGCACAATATGAGTGCAAACTGTACCAAAAGAAAACAAAAAACAAAGTCCACTATTTGGTCCGGACCAAACAAGTGAACCAAAGGACTTTAATGAAAAGAGCATGAACGAGCTTCATGGTCAAAATATCAAAATTTCTCCACATTCTGTCTAAAAACAATATGAGGATACAAATTCAACAAAGTTAGTATCATGTTCACTCATCCTGTAGAGTCCAGCAGAAGGATGAAGGGATAGAGGTCAAACACTGACCAAAGCAAAATTATTATTGTGATAGAACATGAGGTCCGGAGCGTTTTAACTGAGGAAACTGAATCACCTCTTAATGCTGTTTCTTTTCTTTGAACAAACCAAAATTCCTTCACAGCATTCTTATCTTGTTCTTTGTTTATTTAGCTCTGCAGAACATGATGCATATCACTTCTCAAACAACTTGCTCTAGCAAGCTGTTTGAGAAGCTCTAAACATCTTGGAGTCACAGTTAAATTTTGAGCATAACAACGAGATTAACCAAGAAATCAAGAACTTTTTTTTGTTATTCCAAATGAGTACTGCATGAGGAATGAAAGATAATGAGATTTAAATGTGAAAAAGGACTAGTTAAAAGCATGACTTCTCTCCTTTAATGTTTAAACATCTTCCATTTTGTTTTTATTTACATTTTTCAAGAGTTGGTCTTTTCCTAAAATCTTTAACAGATTATATTTATTGAAAACTCAATCACATTGGACTGTGATAAATTGGATTTGACTGAGTAATATAATGTGCACATTTTAATTTGCCACACATTGTCACCACTTTAACTCTAGGAAGTGAAGAGCATCACCATTTTTCTATTTATAAGTTTAGGGCATCCTAAATAAGCTCTTGAAAAAAAATAAAATAAAGCAGAGAACATTTGTTTTTCTTATTTAGCAGAAATGATGAAAAATGTGTTTATCGAGCTATCAATGTACTCCTACAGCATATATATTTGTTCTTTTTTTTATCATCTTCAGGTGCACAATCCAATCTGAGCAGAGAATAACAGCTTGGCTGCTCTTCACTGTTCTCCACTTTAATGGAGATCGATTTGAACCAACCAATGTTCTGGTCCCCGAGCGTATTATGAAGATTCAATGTTTGCCCTCATCACATGAATTTACCACAGCGAGCCTCTCAGGCACAAGCATCGACACACATTTAAACCCATTGCTAACAACAGACATCTTTTGTTTTTGTTTGTTTCATTCCTCTACCTGCCACAGGACGTTACGAGCAGCGGGATCACACACTTGGTGACTACAGAAACAGCTTTTCATTAAACTACCAGAGAAACATGCGGACAGGTAGACGCCCGATGGAAGAGTTCATATTTATTAATCAGGTGGTCACTCGTGTATGAGAGTGTGAAGGTGCTTCAACAAAGCTCGTCGTCAACCTTTCATTCACCCWCTTAATGCATCGTCTCGCTGAAGCA